CGTTCAATCATAGGACCCAATGTGTCTATATAATAAAGATGAAGAGAAACTGAAAGTGTTCGACCAAACAATAGGTTTGTTCGTGTTTTTAGTTTTACTTGTGCAAAACCGTTTCAGACATACGTAATAGACTAAAAGTAATCGTATTTTCTGGAACTAAGTTCTGAACAAGAGTCCTATATTTGAGTTTTTTTTAGAACGATTCTGAACTGTTTTAAAGAGTTCTATGTGATTCTAGCCAAAAGTGCGAACTGACAAAAATCGTTCTAGTCACACATGCGCATTGCACCATTACAAAAATAATAATTAGTAAACAAGGTTAGAGGTTAGGTATATTATATTGTGAATTTCCTTGAATATGGAATTATAGGAATTTGCCTGAGAAAATTAATTTTCTTCATAGTTTATCTTTTTCTTTAAACTAAGAAAAACATATTAACGGTGACTGGCCTTCAAAAACGTAACCAAAGCATACCAATTTTATTTAAAGTACAGTTACAAAAGGGAAAACTCCGTGTTTGTTGTTAGTTTTTTTTTTAATGCTAAATAATAATTATTTTACCCCACAATTTTAACAAAATCAATTGACAGTTGATAATTTAGGTGTTCGTGTTAATGTTTAATCCACATACTTTGATTTTCTTTTACTATACGGAGAATGGTGGCACTGCGCAGCTTTCTGAGTGCGTTTTAAAAGGAGATAGAAAACTCCGCCATTTTGAACCCTTATTACGTGTTGCCTACATCTTGGCGCAATATTTTTAATAAGTGCGTTTTAATCGCACCTGACATTTTGCTTGCTGCTTTCAGTGTCAGTGAATATTATTTTTGGAGTCACATTTTATTGCTAAAGAATCAGTTAGCTCACTCGGACCAGTTGAAAGTTCCAAAATAACATCCACTCCAGGGATACAAATTCAGGATACGCAGAAGACTGCTGTTTTATTATAGGCGGTTGTCATATATTGTATTATCCAAGTTGCGCAGTGTATAAACTGGAACATTGAGATAGAAAGTGCCGACGCAGAGTGAGCGATCTGATTTTTTAGCTATAAACTGTGTCATAGGGTTCAAAATGGCCGCGCCCTATGTTGGGCGTGTCGGACCTCTCTCTTGCCCCGTATAGTAATCAAAGTATGTGGTTTAATTCAAAACTGTTTGGAAGAATTCCAAATTTGTGCCACTAAGCAACTAGTTCTGCGCAATTTTAGAACAGTTCTGTTTTGAATAACATGAACAAACCTAATAATTAACAGAATAGTAGAACCAAAGAAGCGAGGAGTTTAAGGTCGATTCTCACTAGACGCTCAGGTCACACTACGTTCACAATCAAGGATTTGAGGGGTAGTATTCACATTAGACTCAACTGAGGCTCATTTTAATATTTTTAATCAATTTTATGAAAAGCGTCGATACATGCATATTGTAAGAAAAACAAAGTATTAATAATTCATTTAGCTGCAATTGCAATATGTTTAGGTTTAGATGATACAACAAAACAAACCGATATGTGTTCATTATAATATAAGAAAAGGAAAAATCGAAGGAGAAGTTTTTACTCTATATAAAGGCCTTGTAGACGACATAGTTTTATCGCTAGAGAATGGAGAAGTTGGTTGTACACACTGACGCAGAGGTCCACTCACGGTTCGTTCAAAATATCCGAAAAACCACAAAATTGTTTATTTGTATACAAGATTTGGAATCCAACCTCAATATTTTAACAAACTACTAATCAGCATCGTCTGAGGAAAACATATTAATAATGCATGCATATATTTCCCCAGGGTGGCTGTTTTCAAAACTGGAAAGAAATGATTTCTCTCAAGACTTTCATGAAAAATGTTATACGTCAACGTGGAAATCGTATTTTAAGAGGCAAATTTAATTTCTTAAGAGAATTTTAATTATCTCGAAATAAACTTAGAGAAACAGTCAATGAGTTCTTACGGGCTTTAAAAATACTGTTTCCATGTTGATGTTTGATATTTTTCATGAAAATCTTAAGAAAAACTGAATTGAAATACAATATTGTCCAAAATAAATGAATCGCTGATTGCAGAAAGGATATATGTCACTGAACTTAACTTCTGAGATAAATACAAATAACTGTTTTTCGAACTGGAGCATAATTTATAAAAAAAACTGAATGCGCATGTAAAAACTATATCAAAACACTATTCCTTTTAGGGGTAATTGAAAATATTTGCTTTAAGCAGTAAAAAGTTATAGACCTTTTAATTTGACTAACATATGCCCTTTCTGTTATCAATTGGAAGAATCATAAAGAAAGAGGGAGTAATTGACGAACACTTTAAGACAGACTTTAAGAAAAAATTGGATTAACAAAACACAGATTTTTAATTTATAATAGGCGAACTAAAAATATTATCCCAAAATTCTTTTGTTCCTTCAACGTCGTTCACATATTTAGCCGATTTTTTTATGTGATCCATTTTATCTGATTTTATGAGAAGTTTTCCTGTTAGATAACAAAATACTTTAGGTTCAGCTACAATATTGGAAAGTCCTAGACAAAATGTATGTTTCTCTAGTCCATTATGTAGTCTTTGGCAAGTACTACACCTTTCCCATCATTCTTGCAGAAGGAAAACTAATGAAAGTAGCTGATGTTAAACGCAACTTTTCTATCTCTTGGCGTACCTCTTTGAGAAGTTTCAATAGAAATAGCTGTTTTTTTATAAAGTCCAGGCCACCAGTCTTTAAAATTCACTATATCCTTTCCATCCACAAGATGGATTAGAAATTTATGTTTGTTGCTGGAAGATGCTATAATTTCTATATACTGACGTATGGTATAAACACGATCGACTTTTTTAACTTTCTTTTAATGTTACCAAAGTCTCTATCGCAAGGCAGAAACGAGTGTCCTAGAATGGGAAAGTATTGCTGAATATCATCAAATCTGCCGGAATCATTCAGGAACAGGCACATTCGAATCAGGGTGTTATTTTTGTTTTGACCAGGACAATTATCGCTAAAGAGATGCAGTTCCCTAATACTATCAAGTATATATTCCTTTATATACTGGTAAAGGAAGGAACATACTTCATTAGGGCCTTTTTGCCACAACCTTCATGATAACTGTTAATTGTCTTAAATAGAATAAATCCTGTACTGGTATTTTTGGAAGCTGTAAGTTTTACATATAGTCAAACGCAAGGGCAACTATATTATTAGACTCTTTGCTCTTCTTTGTTGACTCCTGCAGTGCCGTGTAAAACTTTTTACTTCGTCATTTATGCAAGAGCATTTCAGCAATAGCAACTCTTTTAGCATTCTCATTTAGATCCTTACTCTTAATTTTGATTGAAAGATTCTCACAAGTGAGACCTGCTGCCTATCAAACTTCAGATCAAAATCTTCCTTAAAAATTCTGTTGTAGTATTCGTATTTAATCTTTGAGTCTGGATATTTTTCTTTGAACATCGAATACATGGTCCTTACTGTCAATTCTGAGCTAAGATAATGATATTCTCTTGAAGAATAATGGGACGTTTTTGCAGGAAACGAATTTATGTTCTCATGAATACGAATCTTCTCTTCGGCGGGGATAACATTAGCACTGACTTGTTTTCTTTTTTTATCTGTAGGCGTAACTCCTGCTTGTAACAACTACTGAATACGTTGTAATATTTTATTACTGATGGAGTGAACAGATAAGAATGCCTTTTTACAAATCATTTTTCTTTCAGTTGCAATCAGTACGTAATATTTAAAACTACTGTTACGTTTGTTGTTCTCCCTAAGTTGTTGTACTCGTGGGCGGCGAGTTTTGATACTAGAAACATGAACAAGTCCCTATAAATACAAGTCCTGTTCGTCCTTTGTATCTAAATTATAAAATCTTTCAAATGCCTCTAGCTGCTGCTAATTAGTAATCTTTTCCAAGCATTTGAACCTGCAGTTACATGGGTCTCCAACAGATTTAGCAGGATCAACATTACCTTTATAATTTACGTACTCTTGGTCTTTAACACTAAAAAAAATTTAAAAAATCAATAGATTGTTTTATTATAACGACTAAAATTTACCGGCACTTTTTAATAATATTCCTTTTATATCCATCGCAGTTAACTACCCCTTTTTTAAGTTTTAAATTATTTACGTCCTCCATGGCTGGACAAGATAATCTAACTGACACAAAATTAAAATAACAACTACCGATATTTCACTAGCAGCTCCACCTTGCGATCCGATTGACTGCATAAAGGGTACAAGTCAATTGACTTAGACCTTTTCTGCACTCAACGTTATTGAAATGAATTATTATTTTGAATGTTGTTTATCAGAATATGAATCCTTTATGCGCACAACGATGAGGTTTGGGTTTAACTGTCGATTCACGTAAAAATCTCAAAATATGCGAAAACATGACTTGTACCCTTTCTGCAATCAGCGATTCAAATAGAACGGATACATTTTTTCTTTTATATCTATTGTCCATGATGTTATTATTATGGAGAAATCAGAAAAAAGTTTCTAAAGTAGGCCTTGGAAAAATTCGTATATGTCAGAGCGTACAATTCTTCTTCTTTTTGAGTATCAGTTTGGATTTAATTTAGAGTCGTGCGTAGTTATCACAAACATGACTCGCATATATATTATATCTTAGTCGGTAAATTTAGAAACATTTTTTGTGAATCAGTCTATATTATTTATGTAGATTAGTTAGTAACCTGTGAAAGCATTATGTTCCTAAATCTAGAGTCCGAATTATAGAGCGGAAAGTGTTAGTATGTAGGAACCAGTGAGTTATATCAGAGCTGTTTAATTTGTGTAATACTGTATGTACTGTACCAACGAATTTAAAAGTTAAAAATTTGAGTTAGAATTCATATTAACAGACGTAATAAAAAAACTAACAGACGAAGCACACATTTTGAAGAATAAACCAAGGAAGGCCCATTGGAGAAACAAACATTTTTAATTTATGAAATGATTTTATAAATAATAAAAAAATGAATCTTATAACTTACCTCTAAATAAACAAGATAGCATGATAAGGTAAACAAAACAAGTTTCATAATTAAAAACAAAATACTACTTGTAAAAAAATAACTTAAACAACATATATGGGGATGTTCTTTATATAGGTATAACTGAAATTGATTTAGTCTTTCCGTTATTGAAAAAATTTAAATAATCGGATGTACGGTAAATTATCGCAAGTAAACAAAGGCTAATGAGATACTCAATAAAAGTTTTTTTTTCATGAAACATGGAACTAATTTGTCAATCAATTTTGCGAACTTGATATTGATATTTCCGGATATTACTTCAATTATGCAATAAAGAAAATTGATGCCTAATTAAACCGAACTAATTCACAACAGTGTTGTTTGTTGATATTGTCAACAAATGGTTAGTTGCCAACTTGGTACAGTATATTACATTACGAGTGTGGAAAGTGCAATTGTTCACATGAATGATTTACGCCTCGTTCTCCAATCACACTTGTATAAAAAGTCACTTTTACACAGGTGACGTACAATATTTTTCCTATGACCACAAAATAATTTCATCAAAAAATGTAGAACAAAAAGTACAATCTGGCTAAGGTTAATTAAGATGTCGTTGATTCTAGGTTTGTAATTATTTGCTTTAAATTATTTTGAAAGTGTTTTGCGGGTGGTGTTTTGTCCAAATTAAGAACATTCCATTTACAAACAATTTCATTGGATTATAAAGATAAATATTAGGTACAATGTTTGTATTCGTCGCTCATAATTTTATAAATAATGACTACACCAGATGATGGAAAAATGTTTTTCGGAAATATATACAGGGAGTCCCGAAATTAGACGGTCATGTTTTAACAGCGTAATCTACATCCTAAAATAGGAGTAAATTTTATATAAACGTAAGTCCGAAAACGTTTTGTTTCCAAAATACAGGGTGTTAAAAGTCCTGATGACACATTTTTGTAAATATTTTCTAAACTTTTAAAGTTAACTAAGTGAAATTTGGTACAAATGCTAAACTTTTTACGCTCTATTTAATGGACTAAACGCCAGTTTTTGATCATCTTCATGCACTCGCACACGCACACGCGCACGCGCACACGCACACGCGCACACGCACACGCGCACGCACACACACACACACACACACACACTATTTTAGTTTGTAGATTACGCTGTTAAAATATGACCGTCTAATTTCGGGACACACTGTATATGTAGTGCTTAAATTATAAAAAATACGAACTATTTGACCGAAAAAACCAAGGAACTTTTTATTTATATAAAATTCTACCACGGTCAGGAAAGTATCCTTATTCAAATAACTTTTTTATTATTAAACATGATACCTACCTACTTTATTATTTTTTTTTTTTTTCTAAACCGTTACCAAAATTGGATAAAACAAAAAGCAGAAAGATTAATGAATTACCTGTTTGTAGGGGTTATATTATGATAAATATAATGTATTTAAAATAAAAATTAGGATTTTTCAATTTTCCTTTTTTTTCCTAAATAAACATAGATTGAACCCCTGCAGAGAAAAATAAAACAAAAATAAAAAACTTCTGGGCATTAATTTAAGCAGTAATTGGAAATATAATAACCATATAGAATTGCTAAACAAAAAAAAATGTCTTTTGGATGTTTTGCAGTCAGAACTGTGGCAAAAGAAATAGGGTTTAAACGAGCTTAAAGTACCTATATTTAAGTTATATGAAATTTCATTTTGGGGAGGTTGTATTCATGAGTTATTCAATACTGTTTTTTGTCTGCAAAAAAGAGCAGTGCGATTTTTATGTGGAATGAATAATCTTGATACATTTTCCAACCTAGAATAATGCCATCAATTACTGTAGACAACATTGGATTAATCAAAAATATATTAGGGACATCAATGATATATATTTAATATACCTTAAGTGCAAACTAAAATTAGTAAGGAAACATCTATCAGAAAAAAAATTTCTGAGCTGATTCTTTTGCATCACCAATAATAAATTTTAAAGTTATAGTGAGAATAATGGTATAACTAAAACTCATGTAGGTATGTAATAAGTGCAATTAAGTTCAGATAAAATGCGTACATAGACAAGCAAATACAAGTGTAGTTGCGCCATTTATTTTGCACCCGTCTCATACCGTATTCAGCACAGAGCTTTAAAAATCCGACATGTACATCCAAGTCTTAAGCTTTTTAACTTTTTTAAATCACCTATTTTGACATTCAAATTTCCTTTCTAGTTCCAGTCAAGTCTGCAAAAAATGATGAAATCTCAAGAGGACGTCTGTACAGGAATATGGAAACAAGTAGAGGAACAAATAATGGAATATATTGAAAAAACTGATGCACGACGAATGAAATATGCTGAACTAATGAGAACAGACGCCGAAAGTGCCACCGAAATAATCGATAATGAAGAACGCATAAAGCAGGAACAGGTACTTTTTCTGTTTGCTATCCGTGTATTTGTTTACGAGCTAAAGCTCTCGGACTTTATTCAGATTATTAATGACAAAATAGTAGACTATTTATCAACGTCTCGTGATATTACCCTCGACTATTTCACTAGAACAAATATTGACTATTTCTCTAGAGAAAGTCGCTGATATTTTATCTAGGAAGATAGTCAACAAAAATCAATGATAAAACATAGACAGGCAACAGCATTTACGAGAAAATGTATGATACTTTGCCTAAGCTTAAGTTGTCATTGAAGAATATATAAAATAATTTCAAAATAGAATATTACCATTAAATAATAACGTGGAATCAAAATGTATTGACAAAAGAAAAATAATTCGTATATTTGCGATTGTTTATTTTTATTTATTTTTTTGGTGTGTCATCGGCTTCAACTGCCAAGGTTATTTCGCCTCGTGTTCTGTGTAGGCTTTGTTACTGTTTCCCAGCGCCACTTTAGGGACATCACTGTTAATTAGAACCCAACAGTGAATGGTCGAGTGGGGGAATCTTACCAAGGCATCAGAATTATTTATATTTTCTTTATTTTTAGTTCGATAGAAAATAGAATTAATGATTAAAACTGGTTCCTATGAATAAGTCACAAAATTTTATTTAACCGACTTCAAAAAAGGAGGAGGTTCTCAATTCGTCGCGATATTTTTTTTATGTATGTTCAGCGATAATTCTTTAACACGGTGTCCGATTTCAATAATTCTTTTTTTGTTAGAAAGGGGATACTCCAGGGGTGGTCCCATATAAATTTGGTCAAAATCTAAAAATTAGGTCCATCAGAAAATTCTCAAACTCTTCATTTTTTATGTATGTTTAGCGATAATGCTTTACCACCTTGTCCGATTTATATGATTCTTTTTTGTTAGTAACTTTTAGTTTCTTTTTTTGTTTTTTTTTTTCCTAAAAAAAGGAAAAATATTGTTTTATTATTTCACAGTCTTGGTAGTTTAAAATGTTCAGTTTTTAAAAAGTTCATACTTATTCAATGCATAGTGGCGCATAACGAGGTTCATTCATTTTTATGTTGGCCGCCAATTAAACCCCGGAAAAAGTGTCTGGCTTTTTGGAATTATTTTTTTTATATTTAATTAAGACGCTATTAAAATTTCAGCGTGAATCAAACACTTCAAATCATATTTAAAAAAAAATCAACTTTGGGGTTGATTTATTAATTATAAACCCTCTCAGAAGTGTCTGCCTAAATTACTAGTATTTTTAGAATTACCTAAACTTTCAATTGTTATTTGTTGGCCTCTGAATCAAACACTTTTTTGGGTCATATTTTACGACCTCTTTCTATTAGGCGCAGTACCTGGTGTCCATGGGTGGGTCTAGCCAACACAGGTATATCTGCTTTTCCATCCAAATGATTTCAAATTACAAAATTTCAAAGTGCATCAAACACTTAATGAAATGTGTGTTACTAGCTCTTCGGCTAAGAGAAGAAGGAGAAAATTATCGCGGGGCCCAATCTGGAGAATTGTCCTGGGCCCCGGTCTGGCTCTCGGCAGCCCTGACGATGGTTTCTAATTATCCAATAACATCTCTCACTTCTAGAAACTTCCCTCGAATTATTTGCTATTAAGAATCCATATTGTTTCAGGCAGAAGTTCATACCCTCAAAGAACAATTAGAAAATCTCAATTCGGCCCAAGATATCAAAATATCATTATTAGACGTAGAACTGAAAGAATTAAAACAAGATTTTTTCAAGAAACGAAAAGACCTCAAGAAAGATTTAGAAACTGATGACTTAAAAATGAAAGTACTTGTAGAAGCTTCTACCGAGTCTATAGAATATTTAAAAAAAATCGCGCAAAGAGGGGAGTACATAAGGAACCTCGCAGAATCCTGTAAAAAGTTCGAAACGGACCGGGAAAAGTTAGTAAATTGGTTTTCGGTTACTAGAACGAATTTTAAAATGTATAATGATGTGGAAGAAGAAGAAGAACAAGAACCCGAATCGTCGAAAGTCGCGGATGAGGTGCAAGAATTACAATGTATCCTTAGAGGTAACAATTATGTTCATATGTTGTCTATTTCAATAAATACAGTAAAGTAAAAGTATTTCCTATGACTCATTTTCTTCTATTCTCATATCGTCAATAATATTTCATGTTTCATGTGTGCACTTCCTTTTCACAATACTCCTACTTGAGTTTCCAGATATTGATTATATTCTTCATTTTTAGAATCATTAGAAGAAGATATAGAAACAGAAGAATCAAAATCGCTCGGTTCGAAATCAGATCAACTCTCAGAATTATCACCTCGAAGTATAGTTCCAGAAATTGCATCACCTGAAATCACTAACATAACATCTGTCCAAAACGTCACTTTATACGATAAAGTTCTAGAGGAAGCTTCTCCGATTTTATCACCAATGACTTCCGAAGAATCCCAAAAGTCCGAGAAGAAATCATCAGATTTCGTCGACAGTTGCTTGAAATCTCTAGAACCAATTGAAAATTTTTGGACAACTTACAACAAAGTTAAGATAGATTGTTTGGAACTAAAGGAAGAGAAGAGAGTTTTGGAACATGAAAACAAACAACTACGAGGAATGATTAGAGCTATTCTAGAGGCGGCGGCCTTATCAAATTCTATACCGAATAGTAAAGTGTCTACAAGGGTGCCTTCAAGGAAAATAAGCGCATGCTCAGCTACCATTCGAAGGCTGAATTTAGTTAAATAGATGTACTTTTGATGTAGCTTTATCATTGATAAATAGTATATTAGTTCAGGTGAAGGATGAGATGAGTACAAAGCTGTCGTAAAATTGGAAATTATAAAAATCAGCCTTCCTGAAATGGTGTTACGAATTTAAAATATATAATACCTCTGTTAAAATAATTGTAAATCGTTTGTTAAACTGTTTTACACCAAAAATACAACAGTCTTACTACACAAAGTAAACCATAATTTTGTGGACACAGACAGACGCCATCGCTTCTTATTCATTCCAATGAACTGGAGTGGGGTAGAAGGCCAATGTGCACGTTGTATCAATAGATTAGATTAGGAGTTGGACATTATTTGGTTTTGTCCAACGCGACCTTTTCAGATCTCCGTTTGTTTTAGAGTATGTCGTCTAGCATGGTCTTTTTTATTAGACTTAGTAGCTTTGACAGTGGCTCAAGCATGTAGTTGCATGTAATTGGCTTTTCTTCGCCTAATGTTAGAAACCTCATTCCAGCCAGGCCTTCACATTGGCACAGGACGTGGAATGATGTTTCCTCTTCTTCTTCACAAAACCTGCACAAAGTTGCTTCTTTTGCTGTATGTATGACACTCATGTGCCTTTTGAGGCGACAGTGTCCAGTAAGAAGGCCTACTGTTATCCTAACGATTTGACGCTTTCGATCCAGTAAGTCTTTCGTGAACTTGGCCAATGGTTCCTTGAACTGTTTGGCCTGTCTCAGTCTTGGATAGTTGTTCCACCATTCCTGAGACTCTTTTGAATCTATTGTTTAATGGATGCCTTGCACAATGCCTTAGCAACTTCACAGAATGGTTCGGGGCCTGGCATGGCCTTATCTGAGCTTTCTCGGGCTAATTCGTCGGCCTTATCGTTGTCCTGGAACCCAGGCTAAGGTCACCTTATTTTGACTACTTAGCTCTGTCAGGTCTTCTAGACAGTCTTTCACCAGTCGTGATTTGATTTCTGGTGAGAGAATTGCCTTTAGAGCTGCTTGGTTATCAGAGTTTATGGCAATAGTTTTGCCAAAAAATGGCGCTATTTACGTCAAATGAGGATGAAATTTTAATCAACGAAATACAAAAATATCCCGTAATTTATGATTATGAAGACAAAAATTACAAAAATTTTGTTATTAAAGAAAATTGTTGGAAAAAGGTCGCTAAAGAATTAAAAAAAGAAGGTTAGTATCATATTGTAAACAAATTTTTTGCTATTTTAATGGTTAAATCAAAATCTGCGAAATGACTTGTAAATTTTAATAGCATAGTTATATTTGTTAGCTAATTTTTCTACCACATACCCACCAGAATAACTACTCTTCCTCTTATATAAACTAAAATCCGGTAAAAAATGGCTGTCGTCTGCCAGAAAACTGGCGGGAACGCTCCGAATTGTCTGCAAACTATCAGCATCTTTTATATGCGATTAGAAATTTCACTAGAGCTTGTTTACCAGCAATTATTTCACAAGAGCTATTTAACAGCGAATATTTTTTCGGTTCCTACGTCATACCTATATATTTTTATGTTTTGAGTTTCTAATTATTTGATCAGGATTCAATCGGAAAAATTCCCTAAACTTTTTTTCATCTTCTTTTAGATGATTATTTATTAATAAATGAAAATACCCTTCTTCGCGTCGCCTTTTAAACATTTCATCTACTTTACACCTTTTTCTAGATAACATTTGGTAAAATTCTTCTTCATCTTCCTCTTCTTCTAATAAAATTAATGTTATCAAATCGACGTAATCCATATTTTTTAATAAACCCCGCAAAAATTTAAAATGACAAAAATGCTACAGTCCGCAGTCAACGGCTGCCTAGAACTGCATCACCGAAAATATCTTTCCATCGCGGCTACAGCTGCCGCGGCCAGCGTCTCTAGTCGCGCAGCTCGAGCAGCACCACCGAAATTGCACCTTTTAGCCTGTGAATAGTTGACCTGGTTTCTCCTTGTATGAAGATGTGCAGTGGCGTGAGATTTAATAATACCTCCATTGCTGCGGTCGGCGTAGTGCGCATGGCCACAGTAGCACTTAGACAGGCAAGCCGCTGAATGCTAATGAGTTGGCCTATTGCACTTACCTGCGCAGTTTTAGTTACCCACGCCACTGCGCCATAGGTTATCATGGGTCTTGTTACCCTTGTGTATAACCATATGGTCATTTTGGGGTTTAGACCACAGTTTTTCCCACATTCTTGTACAGCTTACGAGAGCTATTGTAGATTTGTGTGAGTTTTTTGAGATGTTGATTCCACGTCAGCCTTTGGTCAAATATGACTCTGAGGTATTTGGCTTCTGTGACGAATGGGATAACTGTGTTGTTTAGTACTAGTGGTCTTAGACCTGTAAGTACCCGTTTTTTGTGAATATTGTTTTTTGTGCGTTAATTGTTTCTTTTTGCACCAGTTGTTCACTATGTTTAGAGCTGTTTGAGATCGCTCCGAAACTGTACCTGCAAATCGCCCCCTGACGATAATTGCGTATCCTAGGCACTGGTAGCCTTCTTTGGACAATATTTTGAGTAAGTCGTCCACAAGAACTGACTGCAGCATTAGAGATAATATTTTTCCTTGTGGGCAGCCCCGTGTAACTTTTGCCTGTATGGTTGCTTTTCCTAGAGTGGATAAAATAATCCTGTTCTCTAGACAGGCAGTGATCCATTGGCCTATTGTTACTGGGACGTTTCTCTCTTCTAGAGCCTTGGTTATTGATCTGGTTGAGGCATTGTTGAAAGCTCCTTCAAAATCTAAGAAATTGGCTATTGCGATTTCTTTGTCATCTATTGACTTTGAAAGCAGCCTGTTTAGATCGTCCAGCGCTAGGTCAGTTGACTTTCCTGGCTGATATGCATATTGATTGGGATAGAGCGGATTTATTTTTAGTATATCGTCCCTGATATACCTATCTATCAATCCTTCTAGAGTTTTAAGTAGGAAGGAGGATAGGCTTATGGGGCGATATGACTTTGGCGTTTGGTCTGTGACCGTACCTACTTTGGTAAGGTAGACTACTTCAGCCTTTTGCCATATTGCTGGGATTATGCCCTCCGAACACGCCGCCAAAACCGTTCTACGAAACAAAAAGAAAGTCTTAGAAATAGCAACATTGAAGAACATTACCATTATCGACGACAAAACCCCTACCCAACAACATATTCTTCAAAACTTAAGAGATGAATTAGAAGCTAAAAAACGGAATGGCGAAAATTACCTAACAATTAAATATCATAACGGGATTCCAAAAATTGTGAAGATAAATCCCTTTCAATCCCGCTAGCCGACAACCTCCACAATTTAACGATTGGACCCTTATGTATACTAACCTGGATTTTCTAACTGCTAAATTTAATAGTTATATTCCCAATATAGACTTAATTTCGTTAAAACTATCATACAAATCTTTCTCAACCACTCTGATATGTTTATATCGGCCTCCAAAGAAAACTTCTCTAGAAAACGACCAACAGCTTTTTGAGGTACTTTCAAATCTATCTATTTCCCATGACAATCTTGTGGTGGTTGGGGATTTCAACTATCCAGAAATTTCCTGGCCCCTTACTGCAGGTCTTGAAGTATCGCAAAACTCTGTTTCACACTTCATAAATATTATTGTAGACTCAAATCTTGAACAACTTATAAACGAACCTACCCGCTTTCGCTTAAATCAAGAACCTTCAACTCTAGACCTTATATTAACAAATGACGACCAACTTCTAATTTCTCCATCTGTCCACTCACCTATTGGGAAATCTGACCATGGCGTTATTATGTTTAACATGCAATTTAACATAGAAACCCCTAATTCCGATAGGGACGTAACCTATAGTGTCACAAACTTTAATAACGTAAAGAGAGTCCTCTCCGAAATTGATTGGGATCACTTTTTTAGAAATACTGTATTTGTAGAAGATATGTGGACACTATTTCATACAAAGATATCTGAAATTGTAAAGGCTAACACAAAAAACAAAAAATATCCTTAGAACAAATTAAAACCCTGGATCAATGGACAACTTTTAACTTTAATTATTAAACATAAGAAAAATATGTGGAAAAAATTTAAAGCAACCAAAAGACATGATGGTTTTGTTAACCATCGACGTTTCGCAAACGATTTAATCAATATTATTGATAACGCAAGAAGAGAATACGAAGAATATATCGCTAGTAGCGATAACCCTAAGAAGCTATTTAAACACATAATATGCTCTCTATCTTCTAAAGTATCAGTACCACTTCTTAAAAAAACGGATGGAAACTTATGTAATAATAATCAAGAAACAGCTGAAGCTCTGGCCAACCATTTTTCACAAGTGTTTTCCTTAGAACCCACAGGCGACATTCCAGTTCGTCACGATGTCCGAACAGCAACCTCTTTATGTAATGTCGAGTTCTCATCTGCAATTGTTAATGAAAATCTCAAAAAAATCAAATCAAATTCCTCACCTGGAATAGACAATTTATCCGCAATGCTTTTAAAAGAATGCGCATCTTATTTGGCTTTACTTCTATCCATTATTATGACATCTTCTTTTACATCTCGCACACTTCCTTCAATGTGGAAAATTGCTTCGGTGACACCTATTTTTAAAAAGGGTGACAAACTCAGTCCATCTAACTATCGTCCAATAAGCCTCGTCCCAATTGCTTGTAAAATAATGGAATCCATCTTAACCAATTATATGTCTGATTTTTTTAAGAGCTATGACGTCTTGCCAAAAGAACAACACGGTTTTATTAAAGGCCGATCCACATTAACAAACCTAATGACATGTTCAAACGCTTGGACTACGTCTGTGGACAATAAAGAGCCTGTCGATGTCGTATATCTTGATTTCGCTAAAGCCTTTGATCGTATTCCCAAAAAGAGATTGCTTTATAAATTGGAAAAAGCTGGCATTCGCGGCTCTTTACTTCTCTGGATAAGTGATTTTTTGTCAAATCGCATCTTCAAGGTAAAAGCTGGACAGATGTTCTCGTCAGAGTATCCAGTTCTAAGTGGTGTCCCTCAAGGCTCTGTCATAGGGCCATTACTATTCCTGGTATACGCTGCAGATCTAGGCAAAGACTTAAATTCTAATATTTCGTGTTACGCTGATGACACTAAGCTATACTGTAATCCTGTGACAGATTCTACACAGCTACAAAAAGACCTTGAAACTATTTCAAACTTGTGTGATACCTGGCTGCTTCCTTTAAACGCGGAAAAATGTGTCGTCCTGCATATAGGAAAAAATAACCCGTGCGTGAACTATTATCTAAACGGTAGTGCGTTAGCAACTGTGAACTCCTATAACGACCTGGGACTCATTGTAAACTCTTCATTAACGTGGTCAGAACACATATCAGCGGTATGTAAACGTTCGAACTCAATGATCTACCTATTAAAAAAGTCCTTTACGCGTGTGAACTTTCAAACATTTTCTAAACTTTATACAACTTACGTTAGACCGTTGATGGAATATGTCGGACCTGCGTGGTGTCCTGATTTGGTTTCTGATCAAAAAAGATTGGAAAATGTTCAACGCTATGCTACTCGAATACCTTTCGGCAGAA